CACTCTTATGTGGATCCTGAGAAACTTAACAGAAGGCCATGGGGAGGGGAAGGAAAAAATAATAATAAATGTTTATTTATTTTTGAGACAGGGAGAGACAGAGCGTGAGCAGGGAAGGGGCAGAGACAGAGGGAGAGACAGAATCCAAAGCAGGCTCCAGGTTCTAAGCTGTCAGTACAGAGCCCGACGCGGGGCTCCAACCCACAAACTGCGAGATCATGACCTGAGCCGCAGTCAGACGCTTAACCGACTGAGCCACCCAGGTGCCCCAATAATGATAATAATTAATAATGCAGTACAGACAGAGTTTGGCTAAAGGACCTGTGTTTTTTCTAGATTTCATATATTATTCTTCAGCAATGTCTTGTGGGTTCTCCTATGTCTTGGTGATAAGAGACGTTATAGAACATTATGCACAGAATACAGTAAAAATTGTTCTCACAGAACTTTCTCCATTAATGGCAAAATGAGATGGCACAGCATTTTACCATTCTGTCTTTTAACACTGCTAGCAAAGAATGGAATACGGAGAGAGATTTGAAGGTTTCCTCCTAAAAGAGAATCATAGAAAGTGTCTCGTGGTGATTTATGTTTTCTTCACATGTCACATGTCCAGGACCAGGGAGACAACATTCCTTCACTGTGGAATCAGATGCTTCTACACGATTTTGCTGGGGTTTGTTTTTGTTTTTGTTTTTTCCTAATGGGAAACCCCTCCTAAGAATGGTATGAGACTTAAAGACTTGCAGCTAGGGGGCGCCTGGGCGGCTCAGTCGGTTAAGTGTCTGACTTCGGCTCAGGTCATGATCTCACGGTTCGTGAGTTCGAGCCCCTCATCCGGCTCTGTGCTGACAGCTCGGAGCCTAGAGCCTGCTTCAGGTTCTGGGTCTCCCTCTCTCTCTGCCCCTCCTCTGCTCGCGCTCTGTCTCTCTCTCTCTCAAAAATAAATACACATTAAAAAAAATAAGACTTGCAGCTAATTATCTGAGCTGTATTAGAGCCACAGGTCCAAGAAGCCAGCTCTACTCCCTTTGAGTCATGATTGCAAGCATTTGCACTGTGCTGTGCAGCTCCCCAAAGGACGTAATGACTTCCTCCACCCAGTACTTGAAGCGACCTAAACCAAAGCATTTCTTTTCTTTCATTCTTTTTTTTTTTTATACCCCCTTTCCCCTCCCTCTGGTGTGTGGCAAAGCAACGTTACATTTGGAAGAGCTAGAAATTCCTGCGGCCCAGTCCGTGCTGGCAGACGGCAGCAGGACTGGCCTGAAGGCTGCCGGACCAGATCAAAGCTCAGAGGCTGTGCTTTGTGCTGTCCTTGGCAGAAAAACACTGTGCTCCTTATCATTGCATGTTCCTCTGCCAAAAGCCCGAGGAGTGAGATGTGATCACTCGTGAAAATTACTCGGCGCCGTAATAACCAGGGAAGGTACTGTCCTACCTCATCCTCCCGGTGGCCGAGGGACTTGTACGAGAGGATGTTAACCCTTCGGAAGGACTACGCCGCCGCTCTTAAATACACACCTTGTCCCTGGGCTCCGAGATGACTCCTGGGCTTCTTCGTTGTTGCCGGTCGACCGTGTCACTCTTTCCCTGCTCTCTGTCTTTCCCCAGGCCTGATGTGGTTTTTTGTTTTTTCTCCCACTCTGTTGCAGGGCTCATCGTGGGCGTGATCCTGAGGTATGGCACCCCCGCCACCGGTGGTCATGACAAGTCAGTGAGCTGTACTCAGGAAGACAGGGCCTTCAGCACCTTATTAGTGAACGTCAGTGGGAAGTTCTTCGAATACACCCTGAAAGGAGAAATCGGCCCTGGCAAGATCAACAGCGTAGAGCAGAATGACATATTGAGGAAGGTGAGCTGGGGACACTCAGCCACTGCTGCCCTGCCAGGGGTGTTTGACTTTCCGACTCCATGTCGACCTTGGCGAGAGAAATCCTTTCAGACTCCTGGAGCATTGGTAACATTCCTGGCTCTCAGTTTGGCTTAGGAAGCTTTTTTTTTTTTTATGATTATTTTATTTTGGAGAAAGAAAGAGACAGAGTGGGAGTGGGGGAGGGGCAGAGAGAGAGGGAGACACAGAATCCGAAGGAGGCTCCAGGCTCCCGAGCTGTCAGCACAGAACCCGACGCGGGGCTCGAACCCCCGAACCGCGAGATCATGACCCGAGCCGAAGTCGGATGCTTCACCATCTGAGCCACCCAGGTGCCCAGAAGCGTTGCAGTTTTAATTAGGCTGCTTAACATTTCCAGTTTCTAAAGAGACATGCTAACTTGGCTTTTAATAATTAAAGTGAAGCTTTAAGGTTAATTTCAGTAAGAGCCCGTCCATCTGCCAACATGAACAAATTCTTGAAGTTTGGGAGGTTTATAGACTGCTTCATTCTTCTCTAGATGTGATAAGATTTTGCTCTTTTATAATAGTTTCAAGGTGATTTCCCCGTATCAAGCCTAGAAGGTAATTTCAGTCGCCCTAGAGCTGTTGAATTTTTATGTTGATGTTCAGAAAGCCTCTAGTGTCATTGTAGACTTTGATCCAGGCAACATCAAGTCTCACAAAAGGCTGGTCCTCAAAAGAGACTTAAATTCAGTAGAATTATGTCTATAAATGAATCTGTGGGAGGATCCAGAAAATTAATAAAGAACCATGACAGCATCTTCTATTGCAGTGGAACCTTGAATAAAAGTTTGATAAAAATCAAGCTTTTTATTTCTTGTTTAAAAACATTGGCCAAAAAAAACCCCAAACCATTGGCCCAAAGCTTTCTGGGAAATCTCAGATCGCACTGAACTGTTGTTTTTTTTTTTAATTTTTTAAATGATTATTTTTGAGGGAGAGAGAGACAGAGCACGAGTGGCGGAGGGGCAGAGAGAGAGAGAGAAGGAGACACAGAATCTAAAGCAGGCTCCAGGCTCTGAGCCGTCAGCACAGAGCCCGACGCAGGGGCTCGAACCCACGAACTGTGTGATCATGACCTGAGCCAAAGTCTGACGTTTAACCGACTGAGCCACCCGGGTGCCCCAAACTGTTGTTTCTTAATATGTATTAAACAACACACCAAGAGCAGGAGTGGCTTCTCTGTTGTGATGAGTCCATGATTTTTCACATCTGTCTTATTTGCTTTAAACATTGAAACTTTAGTCAGTGGCTTAAAATATTAAGCAAATATTATAGCACCAACTGGTACTAAACTGGAAATTGACTTTTTTTCTTTTTAAACTTTCAGGTAACGTTTGATCCAGAGGTCTTTTTCAACATTCTCCTGCCTCCGATTATTTTCCATGCCGGCTACAGTTTAAAGAAGGTAAGAGATTTTTGCCAGTATTTCTTAAAGCATGGGAGTCTCTGTGTTCATGTACCTACACAATTTTCTAGTTTTTCCCTTCTCCCAGATTGCTTATCACTGTGTTCTGCACCCACTCAGAGACTATATTTGTCTCATCATCAGTGATTGGTTTCTCTTTTAAAATCTGGAGTGCTCCCACATTGCCGGTAGGAATATAAAATGGTGTAGCCTCTCAGGAAAACAGTTTCAGTTTCCTATAAAACCAAAGTTGCAATCACCATACGACCCAGCCATTTAATTCCTGAGGGTTTATCCCAGAGAGATGAAAACTTACGTTTGCACAAAAACCTGGGCACAATTCTCCGTAGCAATTTTATTTGTAACAGCCCCGAACTGGAAACAACCAAAATATCTTGCAATACGTGAACGGTTAATCAAACACCCATACCATGGAATACTATTCGGCAATAAAATAGAACAAGCTATTGATACACGCAATAATTTGGATGGATCTCACAGGCATTATGGTGAGTGGGAAAAAAAATCCAACCTCAAAAGATCACGGACTGTATGATTTCATGTAATAGCATTCTAGAAATGACAAAAGTATAGGGACAGGGAACAAATTAGTGGCTGCCTTGGGCTTGGGATGGTAGAGGTAGGGAGTGTGGCTATAAAAGGACAACCTGAAAGAGATCTTTGTGGTGATGGAAAAGTTCTGTATCCTGATACAGCAATGGATACGCAAGTCTACACGTGATAAAATGACATAGAACTATTTTTTTAACGTTTATTTGTTTTTGAGAGAGAGACAGAGACAGAGCCTGAGCAGGGGAGGGGCAGAGAGAGAGAGGGAGACACAAAATCCACAGCAGGCTCCAGGCTCCGAGCTGTCAGCACAGAGCCAGACGCGGGGCTCGAAGCCACAAACAACGAGATCATGAGCTGAGCCAAAATCGGATGCTTAACTGAGCCACCCAGGCGCCCCCAGTTTCCTGGTTTTGATATTGTACTACAGTTACATAAGGTATGGCACCTGGATGGCTCAGTGAGTTAAGCAGTTAAGCGCCCAATTTGTGATTTCGGCTCAGGTCGTGATCTCATGGTTCCTGAGTTCGAGCCCCATGGCAGATTGTGTCTGTTCCTCTTTGTCCCTCCCCCACTTGCACACTCTGTCTGTGTCTGTCTGTCTGTCTGTCTGTCTGTCTAAATAAATAAATAAATAAATAAATAAATAAATAAATGGAACCAAATCACTGGTTGTAAGAGCTGCTCTAATGGCTGAAAAACACTTTGGGTTCTGCAGAGCCTTCCCTGTATCAGACTTATTTCCTCAGAAGGAGAACAAATAACAGGCTTTGCCAGTTACCAATTTAAGTTGTTTTTATTTTTTTAATTTTATTTTATTTTTCAAACATGTTTTAAATGTTTATTTTTGAGAGAGAGAGAGAGACAGAGCACGAGCGGG